ATAAGAAATTATGTTCGATATTCGGACTTCCACTACGACAAAAATAACGTTTCCTTAGACAGAAGATCTCAGATCGTTACCACGCCCCTACCGACGGAAATTACCACATCTTCCTTACAATTCGAATTTGTGGATAAGTTCAAAATAAACCATTCTCATATTTATATTAAAGATCTTATGTTTAACACAATTCCTGCACGCGTACAGGAGTATTCAAAAGGTTGTACTGGACATGTCCACAAGCTGGGCATTTAGTACCCATTTAAAACCCAACATACGAAACTACAATTCGAGCGAAAAACGGGTTAAAATCCTCAAGATATCGAAATTTGGGGGTACTGTTAAACAGTGGATACCCTAAAAACTTGACCAACATAATTAATTTTTAAAATTAATCTTTGGTACTTCTTGAAAAACCAAAACATGAAACTATATCCAATTCGGTTGAAAAAAGTGTTAGCCATCGAAGTGGTGAAAAGTGTGCTCGGATATTTTTTTATAGTCCTCAATGAGAAGAATCTTTCAAGATCAGGTATATTTTTTCCATACATATTTGCATATATTTTCTATGCAGGATAATTTAAGAGGCACAAGGTCCGCAGTTAAAGTCGGAAAGGATCTATCGGAGCCCTTCAATGCCGCACGAGGTTTCAGACAAGGTCACCGTTTGATGGTATTAACGCAGATGGTATCAAAGCGCAAAACGTCCATTAGACTCGGACCAACTGTGTAACTTGAGAACTACAGCTTCGAGGTAGTCAAAGATGTTATATACCTTGGTACCGACATAAATAAAACGAATGACATCAGTTTTGAAGTTCGGAGAATGATAGTGTTGGCCAACAGATGGTCTAAATAACCAGTTTAGAAACAATGCCACCTCCCGCCAGACTAAACTCATACTTTAAAAGACGCTGATACTACCCGTGCTGTTATATGGATCTGAAGCATGGGTACTCAATCAGATGAGGCAGCTCTTGGGGGTGTTTGAGAGACAAATTCTTCGAATAATCTACGGGCCGATCTGGGTCGACGGTGAGTATAGGCGTCGAATGAACCACGAGCTTTACGAGCGGACATCGACATAGTCCGTCGTATTGAGCTGCAGCGACCACGGTGGGTACGCCATGTTGTGCGAATGAATGAGAATGCCCCAGCTCAAAATGCATATAAAAGCGAGCCTACTGATGGTTCACGCAGAAGTGGAAGTCCACGAAAGACCAAGTAGAGGACAACATCTCGGAACGTGGTCTTTGGAAATAAGTAATAAAGTATGTAAGACAATAGGTGGATAAACCAAAGTTTTAAAATCTTTTCAATAAAAAGGAGACATCACATCGATTTATAATTCGGGAATTCCGGTTCTCCGAGGGAAGGCAGATGTATCGAGCTGCAGCGACTACGTTGGCTATGTCATGTTGTGAGAAGGAATGAAGATGTGCCAGCTCAAGAGGTATATACAAATCGATGGAAAGATCAAGTGGAAGACAATATATATTTTATATATTGTAAATATGATCAATAAAATTTAAATAAATACACCTACACCGATATTGAAAATATTTTCACTTTGTTCGCCAAATAAATATAATTGCAAACCATAAATATATTACAAACAATTATATTTAATTGTTAATTAACAAGCTTTAACTACAATTCTAAATAGAGTCCATTTTTATTATTTTAAACAAGTTGAATATTTTCAACTTCTTTTATTAGTTCCATATGCTTGAATTCATCTGGTTTCTTGGTAAATTTTTCCAAAAGTTGTTGTTTAGCCGGATCATCTTTGCAATAGAACATTTGCAATTCATTGGCTAAACATTGGGCCTCCTGGCCGTTCAATACGTTGCTATCATATTCACCACGCATTAAAATAATGCCCTTATCACGCATTTCGGTATAATGGACCAGAGTCAGGCATTCGGGAGCATTTTCGGCATGAACCTGAAAGAGAAAAAATGAAGTGTTATTTGAATTGAAAGTTTAAGGGCTCATATCACGGGAAGTATGGAGTTCCCGATATAAAATGCACATCATAGAAATCACTACATCGAATACTACCTACGTCATAAATTTCAAAGCAGTCCGAGTGGAGATGGATTGTTTTTAATACTAGTTGTAATCCCTGTTCTATCGGATTTTGTTACAAATTTAAATGACTTCAGTCTTAGTACTTTTGATGGGGGTTTGAACTTACTTGATAAGCCAATAAGGGTGTGAAATGGACTGTATTGCTGGCGAATTGTAGCATAATGAATTCGAAACCTTCACTGCGTGGCAGGGGCAACAAAAATATGGGATGTTCCTTGGCACGTTTCATTAACGATTCATATTGTTCCACAGTCAATGTGGCGGCCAAAACATCTTTGGTTTTGTGATATTCGAACCATATGTGTTTAATGTCATCAGCTGATTTGTCAGCCAACAATTCAATCTTCATAATATCCTCCAATTTCTTATGGGGAATTTCAGCTGCTGCCTCCTTTTTGGGTTTTGGATGCAACAATTCAGAATAGGTTCTAATGAAAGATAAAAAATTAAAAAATAACGAATGAAATCTTGGTAAATTTTTAATGAACCCCTTACCTATTTTGTGATTTTCCCTCTTTAATAGGATTCACAACTTTGTCCACTCGCTGCAGGAACTCATCGGGTGAGGTTTGTTGCAGTTTTGCTATTTTATCGGCATATTTCTCAAAATAGGGATTCTTCTCTTTGAGCTTTTCCACAGCTTCTTGGGCACGACGTTGAGCGGACATTGTAATTGTACGGACAATTGTAGAATTATTTGTTCTTAACAATCCCAGAGTATTCCTAATACAAGCCATACCAATTATCCGGAACCGGAGAAAAGAAAGAATTGTTGGAATTATTCGTCGATGTGGAGTAGCACGACGATGTGTTTCGTTTTTCCCCAAAGCAGGTGTAAATAAATGACAATTACACAACAATGTGACTTTGGGGCCGAATAGGAATTTCTAACGGCGTTAAAATGTTTTAAGCACTGGCATCGGAATCAAATTAGCATGGTGATTTCTGTTGGAAATATTTATGTTCAAACAAGTGAAATATTAAAAGTGCGCTTTTGATTTATTAATTTTTGCGAGAAATAAACAAATAAATCAATACATTAAATGGATTCCTATCAAAAAAGTGGAACAAGTCTAGTTTAGGGGCTCCACTCGGATCGCTTTGAAATTTTTACCGTAAGTAGTCCTCGTTGAGCTGATTACAGTGATATATATTTTATGTGGGGGAAATGCATACTTCCCGAGATATGGGCCTTGAAAGTTCGGAGAATATCTTGATTAAAACGGCCGTTTTAGTAATGCCACAAAGGCAATATGGGTATCATTTTAAAGCTTACAACGAATGCGCATACATGGCTACGCAATCCAAATCCTTTTTTAAGAGCAATTTTTAAATCAAATTTAAGGTTATTTAAGTAGCCGGCCTTCGGCCGGGGCTTAAGACTTTCACCTATGGACAGGCGCATACATGGCTACGCAATCCAAATTCTTTTTTAAGAGCAATTTCCAAATCAAATTTAGGTTTTTTTAAGTAGCCGGCCTTCGGCCGGGGCTTAAGACTTTCACCTATGGACAGGCGCACACATGGCTACGCAATACAAATCCTTTTTTAAGAGCAATTTTCAAATCAAATTTAAGGTTTTTTAAGTAGCCGGCCTTCGGCCGGGGCTTAAGACTTTCAACTATGGACAGACGCATACATGGCTACGCAATCCAAATCCTTTTTTATGAGCAATTTCTAAACCAAATTTAGGTTTTTTTAAGTAGCCGGCCTTCGGCCGGGGCTTAAGACTTTCACCTATGGACAGACGCATACATGGCTACGCAATCCAAATCCTTTTTTAAGAGCAATTTTCAAATCAAATTCAAGGTTTTTTAAGTAGCCGGCCTTCGGCCGGGGCTTAAGACTTTCACCTATGGACAGGCGCATACATGGCTACGCAATCCTAATCCTTTTTTAAGAGCAATTTTCAAATCAAATTTAAGTTTTTTAAGTAGCCGGCCTTCGGCCGCGGCTTAAGACTTTCACCTATGTTTTTTCTTTCAATTTTAGTTAATATTATATAATTTACAATGATATACTATATTTATTTTTAAAGCACTATTCAAACCCTTTAAAATGATACCCATATTGCTTTGGTGGCATTAGTAAAACGGCCGTTTTAACCAAGGTATATTCCAAACTTTCAAGGCCCATATCTCGGGAAGTATGCATTTCCCCCAAATAAAATATATATCACTGTAATCAGCACAACGAGGACTACTTACGGCAAAAATTTCAAAGCGATCCGGGTGGAGCCCCTAAACTAGACTTAAGCCAAAAAAGTTGATTGTTATAGGTGATTAACTAAACAATAAATGAGTGAGATACCAACGAATACAAAGCGAAGATGGGAGATATTGTTTGTCGGAATGTTCTAAAATTATATTAAGAGGTAATATTCCCTTTCTATATTTTTGCAGAATCCTCTTTAAAACATTTTGTATTCAGAACACACGTTTAGATTTTTGGTCCCGATCTACTTATATGATTAGAATAGGTTTGCAGAACAATTGAAGATAGCCGGCCAGAATAATCCTATATTCTTCAGACGCTCTGATGGATTGTGGTAAATTCCAGCATAATAAATTGTCATAGGGTAAGTATTTTTCTTTTGTAACTGATGTCCCCAGAACGTGTACATTATTAAAGAATATTTTAATTTTAATGTACACTTCACCATAAGGTGTTCTTTTCGCAACACCTCCAAATATTCACTGTCCGTCTGTCTGTTGAAATCCCGATAGAGCTTGGGCATTGTTACTACTCATAGGTATTGAAAATGTCATATTTTGGTCCACGTTTTGGTAATCCCCCATATATCGGTACCGTTAAATAGTCATTATTGTGCTTCAAAGATTCGGGAAACTTTGACGCTATTTTAAAATTTGGATTAATAGAAGATTCTTATAGGTTCTGAAGCCGACAAATAGTGTTACGAAACTCAAAATCTAAATGTTTTCAATGTAACAAACAAGAACTCCACGTACTATAAGAAAATGTTTATATATTTTCAGAGTACAGTAAAAGTTTGAACAGTGCAAGCACTGCAAGCCATATTTTATACGACTTCACTAAAATAAAAATTGAACAATGTTTTAAAAATATAGATGAGAGAAATATAGATAGAGAACATACATTTTATAGATGACATCCAGTTAAAATAGAAGGTTGTCTGCAAAGAAGAGGACGTATGGTCACCATAACTGTGAGTTGGTATTATGTGTTTTCATTATGTGGCACGACTTTCTACCAAGAATGACCAATATTCATCGACTTTTCAAGATAGCCACCATATGACGGTAACTTCCTAATTTTCATATTTTGAATTCAAATAGGGTACCAAATCATTCTACAAAAAATTTATCAATATTGGTTCAATTTTTGTGATAGTCTAATATAACAGGCTTTTATTGAGGATTGTGTGTAGTACCAAAAATAGTGGACATATATTTTTCGTAATGTGGAGTTTTTGTGGGGGAGGTACCAGATAGAATGAACCGATCGGTCCCATTTAAGGACTTATGTTAGAGTTGGTAAAGTACAGTGTTTGGATCAAATCGGAATTTAATTCGCTTAATATGTAATTCATAAATATTGCAAATTGACTACTTGTTGGGAAGGTAGCAGATGGAGTGCACCGATAAGTCCCATCCCCAAAAAATGCAGTGAAGAAAAGTTCACTTAATATGAGATTTTCAAGATTTAAAAATGTTGTTTTATGAGTGAGAGTTACTAGAAGGATTGGACATATATATCCCATTAGCCATTGGGCTAAACGTATAATATGTCTACGGTCTTCTTTAAAATAATCAAGTCTCTGATCGTGCTAAAATACATATTCTTAAAAAGAACAACAACACTTTTTTTGAGATTTAAAAAATAATCTAAAAAATCATGTACTGTGCTTTAAAAAAATGTATGGTTTTGTAAGGAATGTTTTAATCACTATTAGCCCAGAATTGAAAATTAAACGTATTGCGTTTGGTACAAAGGAACCTTTCAAAAATATTTGAATAAAAATTTACTGTATATGACTTCGTTTGAGTATAGACCGGTGTAACATTAGTTTTATATAGTTATTGAATAATTTAGTCAAAATTTCGTTTTTTGGACAAACTAATATGTACTGTTCCGATTATTAACAAAAAATAGTTACAATATGTTGTGATTAATTAGTCACAACATAATAAATTTTTATTACAACATTGTATTATATGGTATTTTTATTACTATTCTTTTTAAATATTCTATTATTCATTTCCCAAAACAATCACTTTTCTTAAAAACCATAACAAACCGATTATTCTCATTCTTTAATTTAATTCATGGCACGCAATTGAATACGAAACATTTACGTTTTTTTATTTATAAACAAGTTAAGTAAATAAATTATTTTGTATCGAAAGACAGACTGATTCCGTTAGTTTTTTTCGGTACGATATGTATTTCATTAGCAACAATAAATGAAAATAATGTTGGTGGGAATATCAACACTGAATAAATTACAAGTAGAATTTTTAGAACTTCTTACAGTTTTTATTATATTTTTTGTTTTGGGGAGGAAAATAATAGCAATTATTTGTAGTTTTGTTATATATAATTAAAAATATTAAGTAGGGTTATATTAACATGGAACTGGTTTTAATGAAATGTGTCATATAGATTGTCAATTATGTTGATCATACGTCAACGTGTCCATAGGTTTGTGTTATCAACTAGTCATCTGCCTTAATTTATTAATGTAGAAATAAACTAGTTAGTAGATAAAAACAAAGTTATTAAAAATAGAACAAAGAGATGTTACTTTTCATTTTTTTACAGCAGCATCCATTAAAATATTTCATAATAGTTTAGGAGACGAATAATTAACATAGGTCAAACAAGATTTTCTTTTTTTAAATTTCTTTTTTTTATAAATTTATGACATATACATACACTTACCATCGAGTGAAAAATTAGTAAGTTGTAGAGAATTTTTGTTCTAGGGAATTGGTTTGTGTGAACATATCCACAAAAAATTAAGAAAAAAGTATTTCTTTTAGGGAAATTTATTAGAGGAAATCTTTAATTTTATTTTGTCTAGGAATTTGATATATAAACTGTACATTATGTCCATGAACATTTGTTTAGGAGAACAAACTTTAAAATTTTTTGGACCTTTAAATTAAAACATTCTTTTGTGTTAATTTTTATTATCTTTATGTGCATATTTTAGTACATATATACTAAATAGATATATTTTAAGATCAAAAGACCAATAAACATTTGATTATCTTAATTTGAAGTGTGCCAGTGATGAGGCACATTTATTTATTTAAATTAGTACACATTATGTATTACCAAAAAATTCACGGTCTTAGTATTTCAGATACCGTCGTAGTGTAATAAATTGTCACCCAAAAAACAAAAACCTGGCGTTTTTCTAATCTTTGAAGGTGGCATTATTATAGATGTAGTTTATAACATATCACCATATGCACGTGATTCGCATTTTTATTTTTATTAAGAATGAAATGGGGGAATGGACTCTAAAATTATATGAAGGTTTGTTTATGCATTCGTTTCGAAATGTTTTTAACTTTCAAAACATTTATTATATTTTTAACAATAAAGACACGTGTATACTTAATTTGCCATTACATAAAATGGTATTCAGTTCCACAATTTTTTGGTAACATTGGGGTCAGTCATTACTCCATTATTACGGATTAAATATAATCTTCGCTTGTAATATCACAATGGGCTTGATATCAATTGACAGGGGGATTATCGAACAGCTTTGGAATATGTTTACTACTTGATAGTATACTTGGGATCACAGTGTT